CTTTGTCCAAAGGGTAGCTATTGTGGTAGATAATGCTACCATCACTTTGTCCAAAGGGTAGCTATTGTGGTAGATTATGCTACCATCACTTTGTCCAGCTTGTAGCTATTGTGGTAGATTATGCTACCATCACTTTGGCCAGCTGGTAGCTATTGTGGTAGATTATGCTACCATCACTTTGGCCATCGGGTAGCTATTGTGGTAGATTATGCTACCATCACTTTGGCCAGCTGGTAGCTATTGTGGTAGATTATGCTACTATCACTTTGGCCATCGGGTAGCTATTGTGGTAGATTATGCTACCATCACTTTGGCCAGCTGGTAGCTATTGTGGTAGATTATGCTACCATCACTTTGGCCATCGGGTAGCTATTGTGGTAGATTATGCTACCATCACTTTGTCCAGCTGGTAGCTATTATGGTAGATAATGCTACCATCACTTTGTCCAGCTGGTAGCTATTATGGTAGATTATGCTACCATCACTTTGTCCAGCTGGTAGCTATTGTGGTAGATTATGCTACCATCACTTTGTCCAGCTGGTAGCTATTGTGGTAGATTATGCTACCATCACTTTGTCCAGCTGGTAGCTATTGTGGTAGATAATGCTACCATCACTTTGGCCTTCGGGTAGCTAATGTGGTAGATTATGCTACCATCACTTTGGCCAGCTGGTAGCTATTGTGGTAGATTATGCTACCATCACTTTGTCCAGCTTGTAGCTATTGTGGTAGATAATGCTACCATCACTTTGTCCAGCTGGTAGCTATTGTGGTAGATTATGCTACCACCACTTTGTCCAGCTGGTAGCTATTGTGGTAGATTATGCTACCACCACTTTGTCCAAAGGGTAGCTATTGTGGTAGATTATGCTACTATCACTTTGGCCATCGGGTAGCTATTGTGGTAATTATGCTACCATCACTTTGGCCATCGGGTAGCTATTGTGGTAGATTATGCTACCATCACTTTGTCCAGCTGGTAGCTATTATGGTAGATTATGCTACCATCACTTTGTCCAGCTGGTAGCTATTATGGTAGATTATGCTACCATCACTTTGTCCAGCTGGTAGCTATTGTGGTAGATTATGCTACCATCACTTTGTCCAGCTGGTAGCTATTGTGGTAGATAATGCTACCATCACTTTGGCCTTCGGGTAGCTAATGTGGTAGATTATGCTACCATCACTTTGGCCAGCTGGTAGCTATTGTGGTAGATTATGCTACCATCACTTTGTCCAGCTTGTAGCTATTGTGGTAGATAATGCTACCATCACTTTGTCCAGCTGGTAGCTATTGTGGTAGATTATGCTACCACCACTTTGTCCAAAGGGTAGCTATTGTGGTAGATAATGCTACCATCACTTTGTCCAAAGGGTAGCTATTGTGGTAGATTATGCTACCATCACTTTGTCCAGCTTGTAGCTATTATGGTAGATTATGCTACCATCACTTTGTCCAAAGGGTAGCTATTGTGGTAGATAATGCTACCATCACTTTGTCCAAAGGGTAGCTATTGTGGTAGATTATGCTACCATCACTTTGACCAGCTGGTAGCTATTGTGGTAGATTATGCTACCATCACTTTGGCTATCGGGTAGCTATTACGGGAGATATTTCTGGCATTGTTTCAATGCGTGCACTCTAATGTACCGATGCCAGTAAACGTCGTTAAACTCGGTCAAAATGTTTAGAAAACTTATGTTTGGGTCTGAGGAAAATCTTTTTATAGACTCTCTCGTCTGTGAAAGTGATGTTTAGGTCAGAGCTTAATAAATAGTTGGGCATCACACGGTATGAGATATGATGTATCGGCCTGAGCTAAATGGTTGGTTAGAAATGTCTGTGTGGGTGCAGCAGCTGGCTGTCTCACGTAATAGCGTTGTTTCAGTCACCCGTCTCCCCCCCAGTCGGCCACTTGTATTTGTCGAACGGCAGTAGACGGGCAATAGACACGTTGTGTCAACACTCCTTCTTTACACAGTTGTGTCCCCTTGATTTGATCACACTTTTTTTTTTCTTTCTCGCTCACAATGTTTTTAGCGAGCTGTGTCCCACGATGTCTTGGTGTACACTCAAGTTTTTAGTTTTGCTTTTAAATATTGTTTTCTCCCGCTCTGGAGTATAGCCCTCCTCCCCCCCCTTCCCACACACTAACATCCATTATCTGGACTTCCCCCCCCCCCCTCCCCCTGCACCGTAGCAAAGATCAGTAAACGAGCATCACTTACGTAGAGCCAATGTTGAACTCGACTATCAGGTTTATCATCTATCTCACCCAAAGCATTGTGTGTGCCCAGATTATGCACTACCATAGAGACGTGTCAAGCTCTCTGTTTACATATGGCTGCATTAGTGTATTGTAAACACGATTATCCCCAGCTGGTATACACATGCCATCTTTTTTAACCTCCTGGTATCTCTATATCTGTCTATCCTGAACTACATCTATGTAATGAAGTATAATCTCCTTACATGTGTCTAACCCAAACTAGATCTATGTAATGAAGTATAATCTCCTTACATTTGTCTAACCCAAACTAGATCTATGTAATGAAGTATAATCTCCTTACATTTGTCTATCCTGAAATAGATCTATAGATTGTTTGTGTTTGTGCAACTGTATGTTGATTTAGATATGTTTTTCTTTATGTATCATTACCCCCTTGTTACTTAGGTACTGAATCTTTACTTTGCCTGATCTATCAAATATTATTCTATGTATTTAAAATATTTTCTTTTATTGTGAAACACTATTATTACTTCCTTCTGTTATGTTGTGGTACTATAAGGACTACTATTTTACTTTCATTTTTTTTAATTTTTTTTTGCTGGAATAACGTGGGGCTTGTCTTTCTTTATGCTGGTTAAAACATGTCTAAAAGTATATGGATGCCTCCTACACACTGGCAGATACTGTCATAACAAAACCTTCAAACACGCTGGGAAGGAGAATGTTTAAAAGGTTGTGGAAAAAAAACTGAATGAGAAAACCAACTGTCATATCAGACACCAGCCATCAATCAAGTATAACCTGTCATATCTCTGCCAACTATGGCAGGTAGAAGCTGGTCAGTTTGTTTTCACACAGTGTCACAGCTTGGGTTAGCTAGCCTAGCTCTTGTACTCCCAGACTCCCAGTACACCATGTGTGCATTCTAGAGGAATGTCAATTTTTTTTTTTTACCATGGTGTGGTCTAGGCAGGTAGGTGATTGAAGAGGCTGCCAGCCTCAATGGTTTTACAACTCAATTGATGTTAAATCACAGCCTCTGTGGTTTTACAACTCTGTGATGTGAGTCACGGCCTCAATGGTTTTACAACTCATTGATATGAGTCACGGCCTCAATGGTTTTACAACTCTGTGATGTTAATCATAGCCTAGATGGTTTTACAACTCAATGATGTTAGTCATAGCCTTGGTGGTTTTACAACTCTATGATGTTAGTCACAGCCTTGGTGGTTTTACAACTCTATGATGTTAGTCACAGCCTCAATGGTTTTACAACTCAATGATGTTAGTCACAGCCTCAATGGTTTTACAACTCTGTGATGTTAGTCACAGCCTCAATGGTTTTACAACTCTATGATGTTAGTCACAGCCTCAATGGTTTTACAACTCTATGATGTTAGTCACAGCCTCAATGGTTTTACAACTCAATGATGTTAGTCACAGCCTCAATGGTTTTACAACTCTATGATTTTAGTCACAGTCTCAATGGTTTTACAACTCTATGATTTTAGTCACAGCCTAGGTGGTTTTAGAACTCTATTATATGCTAGAATGATGTAGTACAAAGATGTTTCAAGTTGCTTAGATGTTAGTCACAGCCTCAATAGTTTAAAAACTCAATGATATACTAGTTCTTCAGGCATTAATCACAGCATTGGATCCCTATCACATGTCACTGATTATATTAGCATTCTACATTTAGCCACACTTCTGAGCTATAATGAAAAAATAAATAAATAGGTAGAATAGTTCTAAATGTAAACACAATGATGCTTTAGGTGATAAATCCTGGTTAGCACAGTGGGGTCCTTGTTTACATAATGTCATAGGTTCCTCAGTTGGGACCCCAGGTTACTTCAAGTTTAAGTGAAAATATATAAACAACCATTAAAGAGAGGCCAAAAGAGCTGGATGTTTTTGTTAGAGACAGGGCAAAGAGAGAGGCCAAAACACCTGGATTTTCTATGTAGTGGTGAGTTAGGACTGGAACTAGCACTGAGCTGTGTGGCAAATATGAGATGGCACTGTATATTAGACTTTTCTTGCTCCATTCAAGGTTCTAACCAAGTATTTGCTTGGTACAAGTAGTCCAAATTTAACACAGGATTACACATTTTATAGGCTTACATCACATTAATGTACATGATCTAGCTTTAATTGTGTTTACTTTGTTAACTTTAATTATGTTGCTGTTTATATAATTTTTATTTGCTATAAAGTATGTAGGATGTTCTTTTAGTTTAAAGTAAAATGAATTGAAAGTTTTATTCTGTTGGTTGTTTTTATAAACCTTTAAAAACATTTGTCATTTTCAAATTCACCTTTCTATGTTTATTCACTGTATTGTAGTTCCTAGTTTAAAGAAGGCCCAGTATAAAATAAGGCAACAGAACAGGTTGCATTAATGTATATGTGCAGTAGGGCCCCAGGCTACAATCTCCCTGTGGTGTTCATAAAGCAGAACGTATTGCCCCACAGTGTACCCTTGTAAACATATTAATCCTGCTAACTTTATGTAAATTATGTTTTTCTCTCAGTTGAATAATACTTTCTTCAAAATTTGATCAAGATAGTAATATTAAGAATACATTTGTTTTTCTCTATAAATTCTAAGAGCATTATCTGTAACATTATATTTATTTTAGATGACATTTGTTTTATTTAGAATAATTTTGTTGTCTTGTTTTTTTGCTTTTGTTTTCATTAGAATGTGAACAGACTTAAAACATTTGGTTTTATCTTTGACTGTCTTCTTGTATCTTTATCAGGGTTGTTGTCTGTTAGCCGTCCTAATGGTCCAGGGGATGGAGGAACAGCTGTTAAAATTCCTCCAGAGAGGGAGGCAGAGGCTAAAGATACCTTCAAGATCAACCAGTTTAATTTGGTAGCCAGTGACTTAATGGCACTCAACAGGAGTCTGCCTGATTATAGGATGACTGAGTAAACAAGTTTTTTTATTAAAATTTAAAAAAAAAAATTGCCTGCTTAGACAAATGCACACTTGCAGCAAACAGTTTCTAAAAGGTTAACATGTTACATAGTGAGTTAGATATATCAACAGGTCCCAGAATGCAAATATATCTTGACACTAAAAAAAAACACCTATTAAAAAAAAACATCTATTAGTCAACCATATGTTCCATGTATTATTTTTAAAATTATCTTTAAAAAATTATCCCTTACTGCAAATGTATTGATGGGAAATAATAACGTATTTAAAAAATATGAAAATATGTAAATTTACATTTTTTTTTATTGGATAAGCACATTGGCTGTTGTTGATAAATGCTAGCACGATAATTACAATTTCTTTTATCTGCAAGCTAGTAATAAGATGTCTAAAATTTAAAACATCTATCAAGATGTAGATTAAGTAATAATTTTATATCTTCATCTTCAGATGTAAACGCAAGAAATACCCACCTATCAAAATGTTGCCAAAGACAAGTATAGTTATAGTTTTTCATAACGAAGCGTGGAGTACACTGTTACGTACTGTACACAGTATTATAGATCGTTCACCTCATGAGCTGGTGGAGGAAATTTTGTTGGTAGATGATGCTAGTGAGAAAGGTAATGTTAGAACCTGAGTTGAACATGTCTTCTTGTTTAGTGAAGGAAATATTGTTGGTAGATGATGCTAGCGAGAAAGGTAATGTTAGAACCAGAGTTGAACATGTCTTCTTGTTAAGTGAAGGAAATTTTGTTGGTAGATGATGCTAGTGAGAAAGGTAATGTTAGAACCAGAGTAGAACATGTCTTCTTGTTAAGTGAAGGAAATTTTGTTGGTAGATGATGCTAGTGAGAAAGGTAATGTTAGAACCAGAGTAGAACATGTCTTCTTGTTTAGTGAAGGAAATTTTGTTGGTAGATGATGCTAGCGAGAAAGGTAATGTTAGAACCAGAGTTGAACATGTCTCCTTGTTTAGTGAAGGAAATTTTGTTGGTAGATGATGCTAGCGAGAAAGGTAATGTTAGAACCTGAGTTGAACATGTCTTCTTGTTTAGTGAAGGAAATTTTGTTGGTAGATGATGCTAGAGAGAAAGGTAATGTTAGAACCAGATCTGAACATGTCTTCTTGTTTAGTGAAGGAAATATTGTTGGTAGATGATGCTAGAGAGAAAGGTAATGTTAGAACCAGATCTGAACATGTCTTCTTGTTTAGTGAAGGAAATATTGTTGGTAGATGATGCTAGTGAGAAAGGTAATGTTAGAACCTGAGTTGAACATGTCTTCTTGTTTAGTGAAGGAAATATTGTTGGTAGATGATGCTAGTGAGAAAGGTAATGTTAGAACCTGAGTTGAACATGTCTTCTTGTTTAGTGAAGGAAATATTGTTGGTAGATGATGCTAGCGAGAAAGGTAATGTTAGAGCCAGATCTGAACATGTCTTCTTGTTTAGTGAAGGAAATTTTGTTGGTAGATGATGCTAGTGAGAATGTCTTCTTGTTTAGTGAAGGAAATATTGTTGGTAGATGATGCTAGCGAGTCGAACATGTCTCCTTGTTTGATATGTAAAAAAGAACTAAAACATTGAAAGCTTATTGTTTTTTATGTTGTTTCTCTTAGAACATCTGGGTAAAAAACTCGAGGATTACATTGCTACGTTGCCTGTTCCCGTTAAAGTTATACGCACAGGTTCAAGAGTCGGATTAATACGTGCCAGATTAAAAGGTTAGCTTGATAATTGTGTATTTTATCTACTCAGTTTGCTTTTTTTAGTCGATTTTTATTTTTTTCGTTAACTTTTATTAACTTAGTCATATTGCTAACAATGGTAACGCTGTATCTAATTTAATACATCTGGTATCTAATTTTTAAAAAATGAAGTATAAAATGTTTTGTAAATATGCTGTCCCACCACAAGTTTTGGACTAAAAAAACCCATCTAAAATAATATACCAGTGTAGGCACTTATGTAACTTGAGCCGGTTACCACTGTTTTAAACACTGGGGTGGATTGGCCTAAAGCCCTGCAATTTACCTCTTTTATTATTATGCTGTACTAACCAAACTGGGTTGAACAAGAGAGGAACTTTAAAACCTGAAGATATTTTTTATTAATGAAAATTAAATTGTTCAAAACAGAACTTACGTCAGCTGATTTAAAAGTAGCCATATAATAATCACATATTTAAAATGTTAAAAAATGTTAAGTTCAATATCTCCTATGGGAATTTTAATTTGAAGAAGTCTAGTTATCCAAAACTAAATTAGTTTTCAAGTAAATAACATTTGAAAACACTTTAGTTTAGACTAGCTTTAATGAAGCTAACTTATATATTTCTTTTGAAGAAGAATTAGGTATTGTGAATTTTTAAAGAATCTCCTATTCATTCTTTTAGCCTTTTGAAGATTAATTTTAATGTTGTGAGCACTGATATTTGAGTCAGGAACTTTTCTTCTTGGCCTGTTCTTGTTTTAACCATGCAGTGTCTTGCTTGTTTCAGGTGCTCATATATCTAAAGGTCAGGTGATCACTTTCCTTGATGCACATTGTGAGTGCACTGAAGGGTGGCTGGAGCCTCTACTCTCAGAAATCCATAATGACAGGTAACAATGAGCTCTATCCAACTAAAGTCCACTATATAATCTCATGCTGTTTCTATTTTTGTTAGCCAGAATACCAAAACTGAAATGCTTTTAAAGAAATAGTCTTTGCAGATATCTTTTTTTTGCTTGTTATCAATGAGATTTAGATTCAACTTAAAAAAAAATCTTAATTAATCATCCATATATTTTTATGTTTAGAATATATTGATTTTTTTCACCACTGTACTGTAATCTACTAGGCTACATTTAAATACATTACAAAAAGCAATGTTTTATTTTAATATATCCACAGAACATCAGTGGTGTGTCCAATTATTGATGTCATCAGCGATGATACTTTTGAATACATCACAGGCTCTGACATGACATGGGGGGGCTTTAACTGGAAGCTCAATTTCAGGTGGTACCAGGTGCCGCAGAGAGAACTTGATAGGAGAGGTGGTGATCGCAGTCAGCCAACCAGGTTAGTTTGGTGCTCAGAGATGACTGGGTGGAGGCTCTTCTTTTGTTAAATATTTTTTATGATTTATCACCACCACAAGAAATAGTGTCAGTGATAGTATTGATTATACCTCAAAGTCGTAATTATTAAAACTACCATATTAGACAAAAAAAACGTCGGCAATTATATTTTTAAGTGCTATTTTGTTTACAGGACTCCAACAATGGCTGGTGGTTTGTTTTCTATAGACCGAACTTATTTTTATGAAATGGGATCGTATGATGAAGGCATGGATATCTGGGGTGGAGAGAATCTTGAAATGTCCTTTAGGGTAAGTGTGTAAAGACTTTATATAATAGCTATGCAAAAAACAAAAGTGCCTTTTCAGACCAAATGGTTTCTCTGACCTGAGCAAAAGAAGTGATAGTGTGTCCAAAGCCAACTTTATGGTTATTTTGTTAATGAAATATAATTCACATATTGTCATTGTCCATAACCGATTACACACAATTTAAGCAGGTTCCTTACCAAATGTAAAAAGTGAGCGCCGTTCCAAAACAAATAAAGCAACAAATTTACAACACCCCTAACTATGTTAACTCCTTTGAGCCCTGGCCTCCCTGGCCTAATTTCTCCCATTTCCTGAGCTCCGAGGGCCAAACCAATTGTCACTTATCTACGTCTAACTTTGCCTATAACTTTTGAACCGTTTGAGATAATGAAGCCAAATTTGGTATCCAGACTCAGGATCAAACAACAATGCAGCAAGATTTGGAAACTTTTTATTTTTTCGCAATGTATGAACAGAACAATGTATATAAAACGAACACATAATTATTATCAACACGCCAAGGAGACTGAAGTTTTACAGCACCACGTGCATCAGAACGTACTTGAACAGTTTCATTGTCACTGTCAATTTCAATGTCACTGTGTTCAGTCTCAAATTCAACGTCACTATCATCACAATATAGACCAGGAATATTATCTTCTTCATCATAATCAATAAGTAGTTGTATTGCCTGAGATGCAGTCATTCTGCGTCTTTTGTTGATATTTTGGTCTTTTGCTTCATCTTTTGCACCAAATTTAGGTGCTGAAGTCACTGGCTGTGGCTCAGCTTTTCGTTTCGGCAGCATTGTACGAAATGTAAACACTTTCACTTTTCCTAAAATCTATTTTTAGAATCATAATCCTGCACTAAAAAGACAAATGCGCAGTTTTAGTCAGTCTTCCGCTAATTATATTTAATTAGACGGTATATCGGCCGCTAGGAATATGACGCTAGATCATTGGGCCGGAAAACCGGCTTTTCGGAGATATATGCCTAATGTTGAAGCCGGTTTACCGGCCTGGCGGGCTCAAAGGATTAATGTTAAATTTTTGTTTTCAATAAATATAAAACTATGCTTAGTAACATTTCTTAACATCATTCTTGTTCATCACTCAGTTATCAATATAAAATCAATAAGCAGTATTTTATTTCTTCTCATTTTAATTTTTATGGATATATTTGCTATTAACATTTTTATTTAAAAAATAAACAGCTGTAAATGATGGATTTATTGAAAATAAAATAGTTGTTTTTATGCATGTTCATTTAATTTTATTCAGATATGGATGTGCGGAGGAAAGATTTTCATTGTCACCTGTTCAAGGGTGGGTCATGTTTTCAGGAAAACATCCCCGTATTCCTGGCCAGGTGGTGTAGGGAGAATTATCAACCATAATACACAACGTATTGTTGAAGTTTGGATGGATGATTACAAAGATTTTTTTTACAAAATCAACCCGGGTAATTTACATGTTTCTTTTAAAACGGGTTACATTTTTTAAAAAATAAAATAAAATTCCGTCTCACATTTTTTGCTTGAATGTTTTTGTATGTAGGTGTGAGAGCGACAGAGTATGGAGATATATCCAGCCGAGTCAAGTTGAGAGAGCAGCTGAACTGCAAAAGTTTTAGATGGTACCTGGAGAATGTGTACCCTGAGTCACAGCTCCCGATAGATTATCACTCTCTAGGGGAGGTAATATTCTTTTCTTTTTTCAATTAATGTAGACATTTTTTTTTTAAATTTTTATCACCATATTTAATCCAACAAGTATTTATTCTTAGAAATAATACTGCATAAGAGTAGAAACAAAAATACCTGTGCTTTACAGGGGTCAGCAGTCTTTTCTTCTAAGTTAAGACTAACAAAATATATTTTATAAGCTGCACTTAGGCTTTGGTTAGTAAAGCTGATGTGCCCATGACAAATTTTTTTTTCTTTACTGTTTTATATGGTTAATATTTTTCTAATGTTTGATACTTAGGAACTGTTTCTTTCAATCATGCTCAATAAATTTTAAAAAGTAACTTTTCTAACCTAGCAGTCCATGGGGGCTGGTAAAGTAGAGTTCACCTGTTCCAGTGACATTGGCATATGAAGGGATAGTGTGGACAGCACTATGCCCAGCCGTCTTTACTTTACCTAACATGAGTCAGGTACCCATCAGAGCAGGGTGGACTCAGGGACATCCTATGGACTCAATAATGAGATCTAAATTTGAGACTGTTGGGTTAGCAAGTCAAATGCTCTACCATTTAACCATGCTGTGTAAAATTTTACGCATCTAAACCACAGGTTATTAAATGCTGTACTGGGATTTAACACAACGTAACTTGAATTTTAAAACTTACAATTTAGATTTGACATAAAATTATCATTTCTTAATGTATAATTTTTTACTTTTATTATATCAGATGCGAAACAAGGCCACAGGCATGTGCTTGGATACCATGGGACGCAAGAGTGGTGAAAAAGTTGGCTTTGAAAGGTGTCATGGCCAGGGTGGCAATCAGGTAAGATTGAACTTTTCCATTTCAATTTTATTTAGCAGTTAAAAAACACATTTTAAAAGATGTGGAATACTAAGTGTTGCTAGCATTTTACTGGTAATAATTCATTTGCATCAAGAAAAATTGCAATATTAAGATATGGAACAGCTGATTTAGAACTCCACTATTTTATATACATCTGAAATCTCAGTTAAAAACATAGAAATAGAAATGTTTTTGCCAATTATTATTTTCTGCTTAATATTTTTTCTGCAGGTATATTATTTCCTTTTTTTTTAATAGAGGTTTTTAATGACAATGTGTAATTATTTTTGTTTTGTCCATTATCCAGTCGAAACTTTAAGTTACCATTTTTTTACCCATGGTATGTTTTTTGTGTAATCCAGAGTTGAGCTTTTCTCTTGATTTTCTCCCATCTGCTGTTGATAAAAGTGTCCTCTGCTACCATTTCCACTCTAGGTGTTTTCTTATACAGCCAAGGAAACAATACAGACAGATGATCTCTGTTTAGATGTTTCCAGCTTACGGGGACCTGTCAAATTATTTCAGTGTCATGGAATGGGGGGAAACCAGCGGTGGCACTATGATGTGGAGGTAGCCACCACAGCCTCATTCTGGCTTATGTTTTGGCAACCATCTTGTTTTCTTACTCACCTGCACCAGTTGTTAACTGCATGGATAGGGCTTTTTGTGTTGGACTTTGTGTGCTTTTTTTTAAAACTAGAAGTTGGTGGTGATCTCTGGAAAATTATTGGACCTCAGAAGACAGAGATTCAATTTTTTTTATTATGAATCTATTTTTCTATTTGGATGTAATTTTATTGCTGATAAAATTTTTTTGGAAGCATTGACTGCTGGACTGGTAATCTTGTGCTGCTTGGCTTGAGTAGTTTAGTGGAATGTATTGTCTAGTTGCCTCTTGTCTTATTTACAGGTTTCAACATGACAGTTTCCAGCTTGATTTTTTTTTAATATTATTGATTGGTGACAGGTTTATCAACATATTGGGGATTGTAGGTTTATATTGATAAAAAAAATTTATAAGAGAGTAATAGCAAAAAGGTATCATTAAAGAAAAGTTGTTTTCATCATTTTATAAAAGTTTATTAAAAATTTATCATTTCTAAAAAAAAATAAAATAGAAGTACTTATAGTGCAGTGGTTCTTAACCTGGGGTTGATCAAACCCCAGGAGCGGTGAGTCAGTCTCAGTTATTCGGCGGAGGTCAAAACACACACCCTACTCACAAGATTCACCACCGGATTTTGTCAGTGCAGATGATTGAACCATTAGAAGTGTTCGACGAATGCGCTTATGAAACATGGGGTGCGGTACCTCCAAAAAGGTTAAGAACCACTGACTGAGTGGGATGTAGTTATCCCCCAATAGGCTGGGTGAATCTGTCACTTGTTGGTGTGTTCTAGCATCCCAGCCTCTGGTGGCCTGCAATGCATTTATTACGTGTCTGAATGTGTGTTGCTTGATGTTGTTATCCAGGTGTTTTGTCTGACCAAGAAACAGCAGCTGATGACAGATGATGACTTGTGCATCATCCTTGTCAGCAATGTACTCAAGTTTGGGAAGTGTGATGGGAACACTAACAAATGGGAATATAATACTGAGGTCTGCTCTTTTGTTTACTTTTGTTTATTACCTTGTAATCTGCTGGGGGAGGGTCATATGTGTATCAAGGGAAACATTACTACCTGTAGTTGCTTTTGGGGAATTCTTATTCTTACATACATAATACTTAATTTCCCAAAAATGATTGTATTTACCTAAAAAGAAATTTTAAGTTTTCAAAAAGCAATTTTTTTATATTTTCAAACTTTTAAAAAATAAACATCGAAGACTGGTGTTTTATTTATTTTACGATGAATTTAACTCATATCTTTTTCTGTAAACAGTTACATATAACAGTTTTTATGTCCATTTATATTTACCAGTACCTGACAATTAGTTTAGTGTCGATTCAACCCCTGTATTTAAATTGCATACAAATACATTTTTAAAAAGGGTATATCATTTCTTATCTACTAATATTTATACTTAAATTCTGAGTTAAAATTTTCTTGTTTGTGAAGCAAATTTTTTTTCTTCTGTTACTAATTAGGTTAACTTTATGAGCATAAAGGTTTTTATTCCGGACTAGACAATAAATTTAATTCAAATTAATTTACTAGCAGCTAAATATTTAAAAAAATAGTTTTCTTAGCATTAGTTAATAATGACTCCACCTGGATATACTATTAACAGTGGCAATGGATAATCTGAAGATCTTTGACTTCTATTAATTAAGTTTTTTTTTAGTAAGGTTTAGATTTATGACAAAGGTCAAAACCACCATAAAGATAAGATGCAGTAAACATTTACCGACAAACATTACATTTTAAAGAGATGCATTATGTATCTCAACTTTCTATTTCACCTTTATAACATTTTCTGTGTGTATTATGTCTTGAATGTAGTAACACTGTCACACTTTTAAAGATTTTAACATCAAAAGCTAGTTACTTTATATTGTCTGCATTTGTGTAACTCAAGTTTTATGCAATAGTATGTTTGTGTTGAAATTGTATAAAAAATGCAAAGTTAAGTTAATTACTCATAGAACTCTTTGAAATACATATAACACACTATTTATGTTAATTTACTGTAGATTAAAATGTAATAAGATTTTGTAAAACAGTGCCATTACAGTCTGATAGCGTAGCAATATCCTTGCTAAGTCCCACAACTCAAATAAGAGACAACAAATCCATTTTTTAAAAATATAAAATATTTCTTAAAAATAGAACTAATTTTACCTTGTAAATATTCTAGTCCAAAACACTTCAAAATCACTCCTTTTTTAAAAAAATATTTTAAATGACCAGTACATTTTCCACGGGGGTGATTTTCGGTGCATTGGACTGTAAGGGTTAATAATAAATTGAAAAGTTAGACAATACAATTTGACTCATCATTCTGTTTGCTAATGTGTCTTAATCTTTGTTTAGACTAAAGCAATTCGACATGTAAATACAGACCAGTGTTTAGGCAAGCCAGATCTTAAAGATAAAGATGTTCCTACTCTAGGTAAGTGTTTGGTGAAAGGTCTATAGTCCCTATCATTAATTTAATTATTTTTAGGGAGACTTCTCTTTCACTTAGCCATTGGTAATATCTCTATCCTTTGACATACAGCAGGGTGTAATAAATAAAATTTATGTGTGAGGTAGACCGTCACTATGTTTTAGTCATTGCAAATTCGTCTATTCTTTAACATCCAGCAACTCAATAAACGTTTTTAGATGAGATGTAGACCTTATATATGAGTTGGTCATTGCTAATCCCTCTATTCTTTGACATACAGCAACTCAATAAACATTTTTAAATGTGATGTAGACCTTATATATGAGTTGGTCATTGCTCTCTATTCTTTAAAAGCAGCAGTGTAATTAACTCAATACATTTTTTTTAGATGAGAGGTAGACCCTATCTATGATTTAGTCTATGCCAGGGAGACTCCTATGATTTAGTTATTGCTGATTCCTCTGTCCTTTAATATAGCGCAGGTTTTGATTCATTGAGTTTCTTCCCCAGGTAAATGTTCAGGCTCTGAAGACCAAGAGTGGATACTTGGTGGCCTGAAAGAAAGCGCCCTGTGATCTCTTTCTGTGATTGTGTTTTGGATGGCGAAATTGTTGTGGCCAAATGCTAGCTGATAGTGATGTTGTTTATGTGCTATACACTACTTATTTCCTAGTGAAACTGGAATCAATCTGATTGGCTGAACAAGAGGTATTTTAAAATGTTGGATTGTCTGAGAAAAGAAACGAATCAATCTGATTGGATGAACAAGATGTGTTTAAAATGTTGGATTGTCTGAGAAAAGAAACGAATCAATCTGATTGGATGAACAAGAGGTATTTAAAATGTTGGATTTCTGAGAAAAGAAACGAATCAATCTGATTGGCTGAACAAGATGTATTTAAAATGTTGGATTGTCTGAGAAAAGAAACGAATCAATCTGATTGGCTGAACAACATGTATTTAAAATGTTGGATTGTCTGAGAAAAGAAACGAATCAATCTGATTGGCTGAACAACATGCATTTAAAATGTTGGATTGTCTGAGAAAAGAAACGAATCAATCTGATTGGTTGAACAAGAAGTGTTTAAAATGTTGGATTGTCTGAACACCAGGTTCTAGTTGTGCTCATCATTTCAAATCTCCACTCACCTGTTTTATTTTATAAGTTGACTGGCTGAGGAGACCATCTTTGTTTGATTTTTCTGTTACACAGCCTTAAATCATCATCTCCTCCGTGTAGGGGATGTCAATCACACCCCGGGATAACCTGTGCTCTACAGGATGCTCATCTGTACATGAATGCAATTCACTGTTTAACTCTCTTTTATGTCAAACTTGTTTCAATTATGCATTTCTGTTGTGTTTTTCTTGTTACAAAATTTAATTTGCCATATTTATATCATATCATATTTTGTTTTTATTTTATATTTCAAATGTTTATCATCAAATATAGTGTACCTGTGTTACCTATAATTCACATTGTTTATTTATGAATAGAACTTGTAATATTCTACATTCTGAACTTTCGTCTAATTGAACTTTGTTTTAGTTTTTCCCTCTTTAATTGTTAGTCATGTTTTATTTTTATTAACTATTTAAAAATGTTTGAATACAAATTAGTCCAATATAAAAAATGTCCAATTCAAACCCTCGTTTACACTTTTGAAGAACTGAATCAAGATGAGATCTGAAGACGAGTCTATTGTTATTATAGCCCTGTCAGAGGAAAGAATTTAGAATGTGTGTTTCAGTGTTGAGATGCTGACCCAACCTTTTGTACTGTTACTAATGTTGGACCACTGTTCACATATTTTCATGTTGCGTCCAGGCGTGTTTTTTTTTACTAGTATTAAGGTCAAAGGTCACCAGAATTAAACCCAGTGTAACTTTGTGCCATTGATTTCATTCTCTCAGAGGTTCTTAGCTTTTATTCTGTGCTGTGACCTCATCACATCTCTTTTGTGTTAACTAGTATTAAGGTCACCAGAATTAAACCCAGTGTAATTTTGTGCCATTGATTTCATTCTCTCAGAGGTTCTTAGCTTTTATTCTGTGCTGTGACCTCATCACATCTCTCTTATGTTAATTAGTATTAAGGTCACCAGAATTAAACCCAGTGTAACTTTGTGCCATTGATTTCATTCTCTCAGAGGTTCTTAGCTTTTATTCTATGCTGCGACCTCATCGCATCTCTACATTTACTTTTTAATATACTTAGGAAATTAGGTATTGAGAATAGAGTTTACTGACTAGACCAATCCTTCAGAACTAGTAAAATGTTAGGCAAAGTTCAGTCTTGTATGTTTAAGATGTAAACAGTGTTTGAATCGGTTTTTTATAAATAGCAATTTATATAATGTCTGTGATTGGCTTAAATTAATTCTACTTAGTTTTTCATCTGTTAAAAGTGAATAGATTGGTTGAACTGATTGTGGAGCTAAGTTAATTGAACTGATTGTTGAAATAAATATATTGAACTGATTGTGGAAATAAAAGTAAATTTTGTTCTATGATCTAGTGTTACCCCTCTAAATTGAATCAAAGTGTGTTACGTCCCTTTAAAAATTGGTCATGAACTATTGACCCTTGCAATACAATGATTTTATTATGAATAATCTCTTCATATAATCATCTCATATCACAACAATACTTTATTCCATCAGTTTTTTAAAATTCACATCAGGGTTTCTTATCCAAATTTTGATAATTGCTTTTGTAAGATAAAAGCTTTTTGATGATTTGTCTGCTGTATGCATTGTGTGTGAAGTGTGTGGGTCTATGTGTGGTGAAAGCTGGTTCATACATCACAGTAACAATGTGACAGCTGCCCTTGTCTGAACTGTTGCAGCATGTAATATTTTTTTCTACCCATTTGTGGCCAGATCAATTTTTACTTTATGGGTGTAAGTTTGAGCTTCTGAAGATGACACACTTGACGTTTGGTTTAGTTTACAAAAAATTTTTGTTACCACTAGACGTAGTTAAAAGTCTGGAAGAATACTCATACACTATATAACACATGCATTTCAATAGCGACTTGGTGCAACTTAAAATATCTGGAGGGTGTACATATTTTTATGAAACATTTATTTATCTTTTTTTTTTGTCCTCACTACTGGTCTAAGAAACAGTATGTAAATAAGATTATATATAAATTGTTTCTATTTGGGCTAGATGTCTCTTTACCTGACATAAACTTACTTTAACCCCCTAGGGACTATGGATAAAAATGACGGTAGTGTAAAACAATTAGACTGGTTAAATCAGTACGGTCTAGACAAGATTGAGTAAATCCTTTCAGAATTTGTTATATGTTTACATTATTTTACAGCAAATTTTTGGCCTAATGTATTGTATCAATTTAAAAAAAATTACAACTGACATTAGCCATTTAAAAATTATAACAAAAATGACAAATAGTTTAAAACACATTAGCTTACTCTATCATTTTCATCAATTTGATGTTTCTATTTTTATTGCTTGCTTTGTTTGCACAATAACTTCAGGAAAATTGTTATAGTATTGTGAAGTGAAAAAAAAAATCGGTCATGGTTAAAAATGTATCCATTAAAACTAGTTGATTCTTTCAATAAATAATTGGTCAATTCTGTGTATTATTCAGATCAATTTGTCCCTTGAGGGCTAAACAATTTAGATGTCATTTCAGTGGGATTTAAATCACATTTTTTTTTCCTTTGCAATCAACTGGGTCATCCCAACTTTGTGGAGTGTCCAGATCAATTTTCTTTCGGCTAATGTAAACTGGGAGGCAGCTATGAATAGGTCAGGTTGGTCAAAATACTTAACCCTAGCAAACATTTGGCTGTCTGTAGATGATAGCACCATCCTGTATTCAGATATATTTTTTAAAGTCAAGCCTAAATAATAAGTCAAAACTTTGAATTTAGGAATGTTTGCCTCTCAGTAAATGGTAGTGAAACTGTGGCATTGTCCTATCATTTTGCTACTTTGTCTTGAGGGAGCAGGACATCCCCCCCCCCACCCCACTGTCATTTACACCCAAATAATAAACCCCTCATATAAATCCCCCCCCCCCTCCCGTAAGTGATTTAGAGAGATTGGGATAGGTCAAGAATAAGCTTATGTTACTCAAAATACTTAACCCTAGCAAACATTTGGCTATCTGGCGATGATGCCTCATCCTGTATTGATATTTTTTTTTTTGAAAAGTCAAGTAAAGTAAAAACTTTGAATTTAGGTATTTTCACCTCTTAGGCAATGATATGGATAATGTGGCATCCACCCCACCCCATCTGCCATTTACCCCCAAAGAATTAACCCCTGTTATATAAATCCCCCCTCCCGTCAGTAATTTAGAAAGTTTGGGTTAGATTAAGAATAAGCTTATGTTAGGGATAAGAAGCTGATTTTGGATTGGCAGCTGGATATTGAAAAGGATGGGTTAAAGGTACCATATGTATTCTAAATCTGGGGGGGGGGGGGGGGTATGTCAGAGACCCAGATTTTGAAATCTGGTATTGTACCCACAAACTAATCCTTTAGTCTGTAGGTCTGTACATTGATCAAACTTTAAGGTATAGCTTTATTTCAATACAACTCCCTCTCATGTATTTATCAAGCCTGTGTCATATTCCAATATTTATTTCTTGTATAACATGCTTAGTTTTAAGAACAAAATGCATTTTATTTTTAGCTAGACAGGGCCATGAAGTAGTAGAGTATATATGTGTGCAGTAGCTGGGTATGAGAGTGCTACTTGTTACATTGTTAGTATTACAAGCACAAGTCTGTTAACTATAACTTGATGCTAGGTTTAGTGGAGTGGATTGGAAAAGTGAGAGTCCAATTGTTTAGTTTTGCTATGTGCACTGTATTTTCTAGATTACTAAATGTCACCTAGCCCTTGTTATTATGAAAAAAAAAATATTTTCTACAAAGTCGTTTTTTTTTTTGTTTTTTTTTCAAGAGCTTTTTAGATTTTTTTTTGTACATAGCTTGATTAATTAATTAAGACAGGGTCTTGTTAAGAAATAAAATGACAAGTTTTCAAATTTTGGAAATGTTTTATGTTTTGTATTTCAAACATTTTACTTTTTTCTTTAATGTTTGATTGATATCTCAAGTAAAAATTCACATTTTCTTTCTGACATTCAGCTAATGGTTTATTTACTGATTTGTAATCAGAGTTTTTTTCGGGCATTTCTCCCCCCCCCCCTACAAACGAAATAGAATTTATGAAGAAAATATATACTTTTACCAGTCCCCCCCCCCCCCCCCCCCCCCCCCCACCACCACCACCGAGAAAAAAAAGATTGAAAGAAAATAAATAAGAAAATTACAAGGGAAGCAACAAAGGAAACAATGAACACAAGTCAAACAACAGTTGTGGAACACGTGTTTATTTTTCACAGCACTAATTAAGTCTGGAACCGTTTTTTACAGTGATCCCTCCCAAATGGAACAGCATTGATTTTTTTTTTTTTAATCAGCCATCAGATTGTCTCAAAACTCCACCTCTCACTGGAGTCAACTTGAGAACCACTGACTTGAAATGATACATTTTTAATGCCGTGCAAATAGCAAAAGGCCGGGTTTGTTTTACCCTAATTAAACAGGATGGCTAACCCCATTTTTTTTATAGTATAAAAAATGTTGGTTCTTCCTTGAGACAAAATAAAAGAATAGTTTCCCATCATTCTCATAGCTTCTACCACAGAACATAAGCTATTCTTTTTGTTTTATAAATTATCATACCTATTGAGGTAAATGTTTTTAGTATCATCAAGTACTGCCAATGATAAATTAAAAAAATAAACCGGGAGTGATCTCCCCTAAACTTTCTCGAATATTTTTATATAAAATAACAGGGGATGGGAACTCGGGCTATATACATGATTTTTAAACCATTTTAAATACTTAAAGTTTTAAAAATAGAATAAAATCTCGTAGACAAATTAATTGCATACCGAGTGAACGCGAAATAAAAAAGCGCATAATAGTGCGCAATATTATTAGTACTTTTAAAATTTACATTAGTTTTTTGAGAAATCGGAATTAGCGTAAATTACTACTTCCGGTCAACGGAAATTACTCAAAATTTGACAGAAGGTAGAGAATTAGATATTTTACTTACATGTGAAATTTCATTTATCTATCTGAAATAGTACTCAAGTTATAGGCTTTTGAAAAATTCAAAGTAGAAAAAGTACCACTTCCGGTTATCGGAAATCGCTCAAAAGTTGATACGGATCTACGATTTTGATAAAATACTTATATATGAAATTTCATCAACCTAGCAGTAACGGTACTCAAGTTATCGTGTTTACACACGGACACACAGACACACACACACACAGACATACGGAAAAGATTGCAAAATTATGTTTTTCCGTATCAGTGAGGTGTAATACGTCGAGATTTGTAAAAATTCTGCGTGAATGTAGAACTAGTTCTGCTAAAATTGAGAAAATTGAGAAAGAAGAGTTGAAATCTTCTGTTTGTTAATAATAGACTTGGATTCTAATAGCCAGGTTTTCTTTCAGGCATCTCCTCATTCTGTGTGCCCCCCCCCCTCCCACACACACACACTATTTCGGTCCGTTCGTCCGAAGTTTTAAATGCACCCTGAAAAAAAAACCTGCTGACAGTTCTAATTTGACATATTGGTTTAAACATTTTTTTTCTAATTGTTTTACTTGGTAAAAAACCCAATGTCCTATGAATTACGAAAGTAAATTATCAGATTCCAGAAAATGGAGTAGAACGTCAATGACGTAATTTTCAGCTAACATTAATTTTAAAACTCAATATATTTTTTTGTTGTAAAAATGGGTTAGCGTTTTATTTATGCTTTCGTATTTTTAACTTGTCATTTTGCAATACTCAAATGGGGGAAAGGGTGAGGGGGGCTTCGGATTTGTGTGTTTTTAAAAATCTAATATTGACTAGGATTTGCGAAATTTTCCAGTAATAATAAAACAATTATATGCGAATCAACACAGTGTACATACGGTTAACTGTAGCTCGGTATTTTGTTAGTTGTGTATACTATTTCAGAAATACAGAGGTTGTATCTTAAGAGTTAAAAAAAAAAACAGCTTCCCGTTTGTGGGAAGATGGAGAAAGGGGGGGGGGGGGGATAAATTGTGATTGTTTAATTTAGCAAAAAGTGCGACTTCTCTTGTAGACAGCGTCCCTCTTCCCCACCCCCTCCCCTTCTCTCCCCCCCCCCGCCCCCCACCTAACAACTAACACCCTATTGTTTATCTTTCATCTATTTTAAGCCTGATTAGTTAAAATAATAAAACGAACAGTTACGTATTTTTACGTCGTACAAACAGTTAGGCAACTAATCCATTGAACATGTGCTAGTGGCACACAATTCATAAATACAAGAGCTGCTGACTCTCCAGAATGTTGCATTACAACAGACGTACAGCCTTAACTTGGTGTCAGTGGCGTCACCAGGTCGGGCGTCATCCGGCGCGGCGACTCAGTGTGTCACCCCAATTCATCCAACACATTTTCATTTTGGTGTCACCCCCCCCCCCCCCCCATCTCTTTTATTATCTTAACAGCGTAACACATTGTTTTTTGCTAGTAAACTTCGATTTGGTGTTACCCCCCCCCGCCCCCCACTGTTTTATTATTTTAACAGGATAAAACTTTGTTTTGAAAGCGTAAATTTCGATTTGGTGTCACCCGGTGCGGGACTCAACCCCCCCTGCTCCCCCTTGTGACGCCATCGGCTGGTGTTGGCCAACACATACGCCCTAATTGTCCTGCAATCTCTTATATGACCATGACTTAGACACACAGCAAGATTACAATCACATTTAGTCCTCTCATATCCGTGTTTACTGAAACAACAAAACAAAAACAACTCCTGTTGATCAACAATAATAGCTCCCGTGGGAGGGGCCAGAGTACACAGGACACCCCCCACCCCCCGGGATCAATAATTTTACAAAATTACTTTTAAAGTAGTTTACACGGAGAAAGCCTGTCAAACAACAACACAACAACACAGACTGTTGTTGAAATAGTTGCTAATGCGAATTATGTGGAAAGGGAGTGGATGTTAGTCTTCTCTATTATTGTACCTGAATCAAAATATATTTGTTAATATTGTTTTTTTAAATATCTTAAAAAATGAATTCAAAATTTAAATTGGCGTATGTTGTCTCATATTTCAGCAATATCGGGCTATGTAAACAGGTTAGGTTTCGGCATTTCGGGTTATGTAAAAAGGTTAGGTTTTTCGGCAGTTGGGTTAGTCCTTTAAATTATTTTAATAATTTACTTTAGGCGTTTTGGACTGACTGCATTAAATCTTATTTTCTTAAGAAACGCGATTGACCTCCCCTGTTTAAAAAAAAATAAACCTCACTATTTCATCAGTACTGTCTGGTTCTAGCCTTGTAGCAAAGTAATCTCCCCTTAAAAAATATCACTGTGGCGCCTATGCCTCATGTTTGCCTAAATCCTTCCCTCGGCTGGCATATTTTCGTTTACCAGCCAACATGACACAGTAACGATCCAGCAGTTCACCAAAAACAACAAAAAACAACATCTCGCCAACGACAGCATGAATATGGGCGTAGGTTTTTAATACAAGTTCGATAACTATGAGCAGTTCGCGCACGTAACCTTAAACCAAAAAATACAATATTGATTTTGTGGTGCGGGGCTATGATTTTTTTTTTCTTGCTCATTTCACTCCCAAGTACCGATGCTGTGGTAAATTATGACTTCAAAGTCATGTGGCTTTGACTGAATCAGGCGTGTCGGAGCCGAGGACTGTGATACATTAGCACCATCAAAGACAGTTCGAGCTTCATTTTTTAGAGCAGTATTTAGCTTATAGCGTCATTAAACGGGGGGTGGGAGGAGGGGGGGGGGCTGCGGGTCCCAACCGGTTGACACTCAATCAAAGGGGGTGAAACCAAGCCGAAACAAATTGTTAAATTTGGTGTTAAAACAATATTTAATCCGGTTAAAAAGGAATGAGATAGTATGGGGAGGGGTGACACCTAAACTATAAATAAAAATTTGTTGCGAGAGGGGGGGGCCTTAAATTATCATTCCGGGTAAGACTTAACTTAGAGACGCCACTAGTATTAACTAGCATATTGAGCGCTACCAGTGTTTCTTCCAGACTTTTTTCTCCGGGGGAGGGGGAGGGGGGCACTAGAAATTTTCGGGGGGGGGGAGGGGGGGCGATAGACTTTCTTGGGGGGGGGGGGGGGCGGACACTGTTAAAAGTATAATTATATTTTCTATATAAATTATATAAATTTCATTTCGTTGGGGGGGGGGGGCGGTAAAAAAAATTCGGGGGGGGGGGGGGTCTGGAAGAGAACTCTGAGCGCTACGGAAAATAAGAAATATATTTGGATCCATCATAAGTACTCATACAGAATGTCGGTATATGCAAAGAAGATGTGCAGAGTTCCTAAGATAGGCATACACTAGTCTTATACACTAGTGTTGAGAGCAAGTCTAAATGAACACTGTTTAACACATTATTTATATGCCAATTGAACATTTTAATACTGTAATTTACATAGGTTGAAGCCCTTTATCTTATGGCCCGTAGCCCGTGTAGTGAGTGATAAAATGATCTCCGCTGACAAGCAAGTCTTAGGCACCTTCAGACCAGTGTTTCTTTCAGGCATGTTTCCGTGGGGGGGGGGGGGGGGGTTGTCCCTCCCTGCCTCCAGAGCACGTCCACCCCACACCCCCGCTTGAAACTTACAAAATATAATTTTTAAATAAAATACATGCTTTCGTTAACCAGTGTTCACCCTTCCCCGAAAGTTTCAAATGCCCCTCCCCGATCCGTAGAAAAAAAATGGCTGAAAGAAACCGTGCTGTGGGCATCTCCTTAAAGTGCAAACCACAAATGACCACAAGGGCTAGGTTACCCCCCAACCCCCTACATCAACACACATAGGTGTCATCTTCCCTCTTGTAATGACGCCGCCCATTTTACATTTCGTAACATCTAGTTACGATCGTGACGTCATACACAATGAAAAAACAGGATCCGCCACGCAGTTTTGTGAACTGGAACTCATTACAAAAAAGTAATTTTCCCTTTGGTGTTGACATTGGTTATGACCAAATCTTTCACCTGTGTTTGATTGCTTGACATGTGGTACTGCGCTCTGTTTAAAAAATAATGGTCCCTTTCTAACAGTGGGCGTAACGACAAGATTCTTTTAAAAGCTTGTCGGAATTCGGTGTTGAATATACTATAAATAACTGGGTTCAAACATGAATTGACATAACCTAGCCACGTGGATACTAGAAAAGCTGTTTCATTAATATTTGAGTTGAATGCAGATATCGGGTTTATAATAAAAAATGGCAGCCAGCAACAGAGAAAAACGCCGGTAATGACACCAAGAGTATAAGCAGCTTTGTAATCAGTGGAACGCAAATCAATTTTAAAACTCGTACCGTGGAGAGTTCTTTTTTTCTCCTCCCCTGGCGGAGTCACATGACGCGCCGTGTTTCGGATGCTCGTCACGTGACTGCGGGATACTAAAAATAGCTTAAAATACAAAACAAGCATGATGAGGCAAGGGGCGTAGAAGCTGACGGTGGAGGAGAGGATGGCGTAGAGGAAGTTGAGTTTGATGATGCACTCCGCGTCGTTGTAGGAGGTGTCGTTGGCGTGTAGGTTCAAGTGCCAGCCCATTTGGATTGGAAGAAACGAGATGAGAGCGGAGAGGATCCAAACAAAGGCGATAAAAGTCACCGCTTTTCTCGTGGTCATCCAGCTGAAATAAAACATGGCGTTTTTGATCTGTTTGTATCGATCAAAACAGATGACGCATAGGTTTAAAATGGAGGCGGTCGAACACATGACGTCAAATGAAATCCAGATGCGGCAAAAAATCCCGCCAAAAATCCACTTGTCCAAGATGTCGTTGGCCATGGAGAAACTCATCACGACGCATGCCACGAGTAAATCGGCCACCGCCAGAGAGACGATGAAGTAATTGTTCTTGCATTTTTTCAGGCGCCGGTCCGAAAACACGGCAACACACACCAACAAATTGCCGCCGACGGCAAATAGAATACACAGGGCAAAAAACAAACCCAGAACAATCTTCCATCTAGTGTTTATGTGCTCTAAATCATTGTCACTGCTGTTTGATTTAGAAACTGAACTATTAATATAATTTACGATAGATCCTTCAAAGTTTGATATCATTTTATTCATGGTTTAAAAACAAAAACACATCAACATTTGGTTCTAGAAGTTCATAAGAACAATACATTCTTTTAAATTTTACGCGTAACTTTTCTTTTCCACCCGCTAGCTTGTATCTCTGAACTTGTATTTATAATCGTGGCAAAAGTTCATAAACACTTTCTTTTACATTTTGACACTGTACAATTTTTTGTGCTAGTTTGTATCTTTGGATTTGTATGCAGACTCTATTCGGGGCAAAAGTTCATAAAAACACATTCCTTTTGATTTTTACTTTACCACTTATTTGACACGCTGGTATTTAAATCCGTATTTTATATCACACTTTTCAAGAGATTTCCAAGTAGTCTGGCATCGTGGTGGACCTTGCAGTTGCCGTATTTATCATTTATTAATTATTCCAGCAGCTGAAAAACAAAAAGAAAGTATTGATTATAAAATACCAGTAGGCCACTTTAATAAGTTTCACTGACATTGTGACATTGTGCTAGCGTGCGAATTGTCATGCCATGAAATATTGAAAGCCAGATGAGACGCAGATGAAACATACAAGAATACACTGGTGAATCCAACTAATTGTTTGTACATTAAATCTTTTAAAAAATGTATCACGGAGCTGAGTTTGGCTTTTATAAGCTGCTTGTCTCAGTCGTGGGGAGGCAAAATCTGGTGTTAGTTGGGCGGACTTTCTTTTTGTTAAGTAGAACTTTAAGGCGAATGGGGGGGGGGGAGGGGTATTTGTTAAGTAGACTTTTAAGGCGAATGGTGTATCACATGGTGGGGGGGGGGGGGTATTTGTTAAGTAGACTTTTAAGGCGAATGAATGGGGGGAGGGGTATTTGTTATGTAGACTTTTAAGGCGAATGGTGTATCACATTGGGGGGGGGATTTTTTAAGTAGACTTTTAAGGCGAATGGTATATCACATTGGGTGGGTGGGGGGGGTATTTGTTAAATAGACTTTTAAGGCGAATGGTGTATCACATTGGGGGGGGGGGGGTATTTGTTAAGTAGACTTTTAAGGCGAATGGTGTATCACATTGGGGGGGGGGGTATTTGTTAAGTAGACTTTTAAGGCGAATGGTATATCACATTGGGGGGGGGGGGAGGGTATTTGTTAAGTAGACTTTTAAGGCGACTGGTGTATCACATTATGGGGGGGGGTATTTGTTAAGTAGACTTTTAAAGCGAAATTGTGTAACAGATGTGGATGGAAGTTCACGTGTGTGTTAAACTAGTTAAATAAAATTAGCAGTGGTATTTTTCAGCTTTGAGAAGCGTCGATCTGATGAAGATATGTATTGTTGGTTATTGTGGGCGGGGGGAATTTCAACATCCGTTACCAAGGTCTGGGTCACGATATAGGATGGTGGTGTTGATGGGGTGGGGTGGGCTAGTTATGGGGGTCGGAGGCAATGATGGGCAAGAGGAATTTAAGTTTGGAGCTATAGTGATGTGGTTGGAGCAATTATGTGAGTGGGGCATTAATATGGGTGGGGTAATGATGTGGTTTGGGCAATGATGTAGGTGGGGTAATGATGTAGGTGGGGCAATGATACACGTAGGGCAATGATGTCGGCTGGGCAATGATGTGGGTGGGGCGATGATGTGGGTGGGGCAATGATTGACTGGAGTACTGTGAGAGACAGCTGTGTATCTCATCTTGTTACATATAAGCCTACACGTCCTTGTGCGTATATTATAACCCAAGTATGCGTCTGATCCCAAAATAGGTTAGTACAAGTATCCTAAAGAAATATCGGCTACATGCTGTATAGTTAACTAGAGCAAACGATGCTAATATTATGGCGGACCTTGCTGTATCGCTGAAGGACTAATGAGAACAAACTACGCCATGGTATTTAGTGAATGTTGATCCCGTCTTTACGTGAAAGTGTGTCAGGGTTTGTATGAAGCTACAGGTAATGTGCTGGGGGTGTTCTAATAATTATTATTATCATCATCATCATCATCATCATCATCATCATCATCATCATCAGCATCAGCATCGTCATCGTCATCATCATCGTCATCATCATCGTCATCATCATCATCATCATCATCATCGTTATCGTCATCATCATCATCATCATCATCATCATCATCATCATCATCATCGTCATCGCCATCGTCATCATCATCGTCATCATCATCGTCATCATTTTCGTCATCATCATCATCATCCTCGTCATCGTCATCAGCATCAGCATCAGCATCAGCATCAGCATCAGCATCATCATCATCATCGTCATCGTCATCGTCATCGTCATCGTCATCGTCATCGTCATCGTCATCATCATCATCATCATCATCAGCATCATCAGCATCAGCATCATCATCACCACCATTATCATAATCCGTATCAGCATCGTCATCATCATCATCATCACCATCATTATCATATTCCGTATCCTCATCATCATCATCATCATCATCATTATCATAATTAGTATCGTCATCATCATCAACAACAACATCATCATCGTCATCGTCATCTTCATCATCATCATCATCATTTTCGTCATCATCATCATCATCATTTTCATCATCATCATCCTCATCATTATCATCATCATCACCATCATTATCATAATCCGTATCATCATCATCATCATCATCGTCATCATCATCATCATCATCATCATCATCATCACAATCATAATCATCTTTATTTTAACATCATCATCATGATAATTCTCATCGTCATCATCATCATCGTCGCCACCTCTGCATGTCGGAAAGAGAGAGCTCCCTCCTTCAACTCCTCCTCCACTCATCTACTCCATGTTCCATCGTGCTGCTCTTGTTTTCTCATGCCCTGTGGTGCCCATCTAAAAGCTGCCTAAACCAATTTGTCGGATCTCATTTTAGCACCTGCTTCAACCATCATCTGCTGATGGGGCCCCTTTTCTGATGTGCTCTTTTTATAGTAAAAGGAAAGTGGGGCAACTCTCGTACATGATAGTGGAAAACAAAAACTCAAAAATATATGACGTCATAATTTTAATTATTTTTTTTTTAATTTTTTTTTATCTGACGTCATTTATGTACAACCTCTTTTTTTTTCAAAGAAAATCATATGAATTTTTTTTTCTTTTTAAAAATTGCAAGATATCGAAATTTCACTCAAATAAACCGTCTTTTGTCATATCTACTAGGAATGTGCCAAGTTATTTGACATTGTTTTTAAATATGTGTTTAGTTATTTTGATTCTACTGTGTACCTCAATATTGTTTACTTTGACCCCAAATTTCTCTAATATGTAAAAATTGGCCACAAATAAATTCAATATTATAATGTTTAAAGAATTTTTTTTAATGCTTGCAATAAAACAAATTACAACATATTTAACAGTAACAAGAGTTAAGTTAACAATAATTTACATCATGTCCAATATGTGATGGTTGATATATAGGGCCTACAGAAAGAAAAATAAATAACAAAAGTGGAGCCAAGGGGGAATAATTGTAGGGGTTAAGTACACAAAAAAATAGTACAGATTACAAAGGGTCAGAGGTTACTATAAATCACCTAAGTTACCTAAAAGGGGAGATGACTCTTCCAGTATCACCTAATAAAATATTAGGACCACCAGGCTTAGTGATTTACATCCTAGATGCCTAGAATTCGTAAAGGGTGATGAGTGATGTTCTGCTATAGTGTCGTCGATACAATTAAAGTTTGAATATATTTCATGTTTAAAATATTTTAAAGTCTATTTCATTCTTTTTTTTAAATTATTATTATTTCATTCTTTTTTTTTTCTGACCGTGAATAATAACAGTTTTCAGCGATTAAAAGTAATTATCAATCGTGAGAAAGATTACAACTAAATGTAAATGTTAAAAATAAAATGTGTCTTAACGATACGTGATTTTAAGAAACGGGTACAACTAATTAAAAATTACTTAGTGTTTATAATCGGTCAACGTAGTTAAGTTAGCTGATTATAATTACCGTGTCTAAACAATAAAAATACAAAAATATGTTAAGTAAGAATGTATTTTCAAAAAAATGAAACTTAAATATTGCTTACGTCCCATTATCTCAGTCACTCAAGACGAATTACCTCCCTTTAATTAATGCCACCATTTCCCCCAAGATTATCAACGTGACACGACTAGTGAAAGTTAGACAACTCAAGTGACTTTATGGTATCTCATCTTACATTATTGTATGTAGTAATCTTTAAATTATTTTTAATCAACAATTTAAATTGACACGGCAAAGTTGGATGCAGGATTTCATCTAGAATGATAGACACACACACATACAAACAATTTATTTCCAAATCACGAATAGCGCCTCCGTGATATAAAATAGGTATAATACAAAGGAAATTATTTTTGTAACCACCTATGATACATGACATTTTTTGGGTAGCACTTTAAGTATAAGTTAGTTTCAACACTCACACATAATACACAGTGACTCATACATAATACATAGTAACTCATACATAATACATAGTAACTCATACATAATACACAGCGACTCATACATAATACACAGTGACTCATACATAATACATAGTAACTCATACATAATACATAGTAACTCATACATAATACATAGTAACTCATACATAATACATAGTAACTCATACATAATACATAGTAACTCATACATAATACATAGTAACTCATACATAATACATAGTAGCTCATACATAATACACAGTAACTCGTACATAATACATAGTAGCTCATACATAATACACAGTAACTCGTACATAATACATAGTAGCTCATACATAATACATAGTAACTCATACATAATACATAGTAACTCATACATAATACACAGTAACTCGTACATAATACATAGTAACTCATACATAATACATAGTAGCTCATACATAAAACATAGTAACTCATACATAATACATAGTAACTCATACATAATACATAGTAACTCATACATAATACATAGTAACTCATACATAATACATAGTAACTCATACATAATACATAGTAACTCATACATAATACATAGTACAGCTCTGACGAGCCAGATTCCCAACAGACTAATTCAGAAGCAACTCACTCACAACAACATAGCTACATAGTCGGCTAAAAGAGACTCGACATTCAAGGGACATCACTGAGATATATATATAACATATGGGACGCAACAATAACTAACAAGACATAACGTAATTAACAACGTATATTATAATTATATTTCGTACAATGGAAGATATACATAATTGAAAAGCGCCAAGACACGACAACTAGACTGTGGATAGCACATACTCAAATAATTTGGAAAACCTCTCG